CACACACACACACACACACACACACACACACACACACACGTCATTTTCTGGTTGCTAAGGCCATTGTAACACATAATCACTGATGTTCCGCTGTAACGGTGGTGGACTCATCAGAACAGAGTGGGCGAACTGACCAATCAGAAGGTGTGAGTGAATACACATACTATACAGAGACGCTGTATGAGAAACCAATGTGATTTTGGAACATTGCACAATATAAATCTATTCTAGTAGACCTCAACAATGGAATTATGATTAGTAGAAATGGCCATGACATGGGACCTTTAAGAGATGTTTCAAGAGAAAAAAAGAATATAAATACTTTACAAATATGTGTGAGTGTCTAAAATGTTCAATGTTTGAAGTAATCCAAATGTATTCAGTTTAGATTTATTTTTTTCTCCAGATGATGGTTATTTATTTCCAACGCTGCCATTTCATTTGTACTTCAGCAATGAATGCATTTCAAAGTAACATGACCCGACCCTGCACATGAGGTAACAGTACACCCTCCTCCCCCAGCTTACACACCCACCTGGTGGAGCATCTGAATGCTGAAATTGTTCTCCAAACCATCAGCGATGTCAACATGGCTCTGGACTGGATCCGCTCCACCCTCCTCTACATCAGAGCCCTCAAGAATCCCACACACTACGGTAGGAGTTCAAAACACACAACCCTATCAAAATGAATGTTCTTCTTCTTTGTCATAACTGTATTTAAAAAACAGATTTGACTCTAATTTCAGGTTTTTCCGCCGACTTGGACAGATATGGGATTGAGGCAAAATTGCAAGGTGAGCCACCATTTTTTGTATTCCCTATTTCCCATCAGTAAGGTAGCATTCTGTTATCAGAATAATACTGTAATAAACTATTTCAACCACTATTGAAGCCAGCTATCATCCAAGCTGTTCTTCTGTCTGTAATCTGACTTTTTGGGTCAATTGTCCACATTACTTAAACTACTGTAGTTCAGGGTGGTTGCTGTGTCCCCTCTCATAGAGCTTTGTCTGAAGAACCTCAACTCTCTGTCCTCCATCGACCTGATCCACATGGATGAGGATATCAACATCAAACCAACAGGTAGAGAGGAAATTAGTTTGAATGATTGGCAAAATGCTCAATGTGCACCTACTGAGTTCCTTCTTCATTTTAATTTATGTTCAAAGTGAGGATTACATTTAGTCTTCTTTTTCACTGGGGTTTAAAAGTAGGAGTTGGGAAATACATAAATAATGAATGTGAGGGTAGAGCTTCTCAAGACTATGAATCGATTCACAACTTACAAAGATGTATTTTTTAAAAGATTTGTTTTTACATAAAAGTCTATTTATTGCAACTGATGTTTAGGAACCTGTGATGCAGGTTATTCATCACACTCAACTGCACTGTAGTTGTGTATATGACATTTTACCTTTTTGATTGACAGTAATCATACACACAATGTCGTAGTTGTATCAAGCATCATTGTGTGATTTGATGATAAATCATACAAAAGACCAATTGTACAGTGTTATTATTTGTACAATACATGTTATATTTGAAACATCTGAGAAACAAAAAGGCAGCTAGCCTAAGCTGACCGATTTTATTTATGTAACAGGCAGAATGTTTTTTTTTTGTACAACTTGGAAGTTGCTTTTCATCAAGGCACTGACAACGTTTTTAGTAATTTGTGACATTTTACATGCTTTCATGCTTTCATGCTTTCATGCTGCCACAACACTTTGAACAGCAAACTGGAGTAAAACCGCTGTGTTCTAAATTGAGAATCCATTTTGAGATTAATCATGAGAAACATTCAGATTCACACGGCGGGTGATAAAGACTAGAGAATTTTAAACCTTCCCTAAATGATTGCTTACAATACTATTGTACACTATCAACAGATGTTAGAAAGTGAAAAGCGTGAAGTAGTCCTGTCTTGTGTTCCCCATAGAGAGCGGCAGGTTGATGGCTCGGTTCTGTGTCGCCTTTGAAACCATGAAACAGTTCAGCCAAGTGTCTGGCACAGAGAGCCTGTCCGACCTGGTACGTACCTGAGAACACTGCACAGCAATGCTTTTGATTCAAATGCACATATAGTAACTTTCTCTATTGTTAGGCTGGCTTCCTGCAAAAGGAAATTATTTTCGTTATTATAATGGTAAGACAAGGCTAAGAAAATAGTGTTCAGATCAAACATGGCTGTGTGTGCAGATTGAGATGGTGTCCAAGAGCAGAGAGTTCAGCGACATTCAGCTGAGAATGAATGAGAAGAGGCTCCTGAACACTCTGAACAGAGACAAGAACAGGATCACCATCAGGTCACACACTGATACGGTTAACAATAACATAAATCATTACCCCTATTTTGAAATGTATACTCATGAATTACATTTATCTGCATTTTTCCAGGTTTCCAATCGAAGGAAAGATCAGATCCAGTGAGATGAAAGTGAACTGGTAGGTTTATTCATGCAGTGTTTGAATAATAAGTAATACTGGTTTATGGTTTTATTGCACAGAACTCAAGATAAAAGTACCCTTATTACTTATCGTAGCTGCACATACAAGATCTCCGATTAAAGCTGAGGTTCCACAGATTATTTAGGTATATAGTATCATCACTGAGTGATCCTAACTTGCGACAGGGGAAGCAAAGACAGACATCACAACACGTACCTTTACGTAGCTTCTGGGGAGATCGTCTCACCGTAGCTGTTAATCTGATCAAAAGACGTGTTCAATCTCATTAAAACGAGAAAAAACGCGGTTGAATCGGTTAATCCATAGGTTGATAAAGTTCCTGTGGCGACCGGCCAATAGGGGCGCTAGGGGCGCCGCCCCCCCTCTTCCCACATGTTTGATTGTCATTCAAAATAAAATAAAAAAATATATATATATTTCCAAAAAATATATTTTCTTTATTTTTATTTTTAAAGAACAAGGTAAATATGATATAGTTGGTATCAGTGAAATGTATAATCTACAATAAAATCTCGTTTAAAATTGTTTTACGATGTCTAAAGTTACTGATAAATCACATGTTTCCTGCCTGGCCGCAGCGTGTATCATTACCCTCTCTCGTCCGGGCGGTAGAAAGGAGCCCTCAGCCAGAGCAGCTGCAACCAACAAGCTGACTGTTGCTATCTGTAAACTATGCCGCCGAAACATAATTTCAGCCAATCAGCGTCGTCAGATCTGATGCTCAAAGGGCGCCCTTTCAGCGCCCTGGCCTGTGTGTCTGTTTAGACTCGTATCCAAGGTGACGCTACAGTAGGGGATGGCTGCGTCTGTAGGTGTAGACTCCGGTGCTAGTGGATCGCCGGAGCTGTAGATTAACATTTGTATGCTTATTGTAGTTGTAAGGGCAATGCCTGTGGCACCATGGAGCATATGTGTGGGCTGGACCTGTATTTTACTAGGAAAGGAGTGATCAGAGGGTCGAGTTGTCGATTCTTGTTCAGTTTTCATCTTCCTCACCCTCTCAGACTTTGTAGTTNTCAGGGTCCTTGAACACAACACGAGCCTAACGTGTCATCACGTGGTATATGTCTCGTCTGACAGGGGAGCATGGCAGGGGAGCACCAGAACGTCACTTCGGCACTTCCAAAAATTGCAGTACCCATAAGGAGCCGTACACATGCCGCAGTTTCTGCGTGGCTGTGTCTTTAGTTGTAATCCCAGTGGCGATCTGTTCATCTGTCATACTGATCATACAGTCAATAACTTTGTTGTTATTAGCATCTGGTTAGCTAGCTATGCTAACGAATATAAGAAGCTTTTTCTCCAACCAGTGAGGTAAAGAAGGCACATCTTTATATGATCATTATAGTTCTAAAAAACAAGAGAATAAAGTAAAAGGGTATAAAATACTAATATGACAGTAAATAAAAGTTGTTATTAATAAACCAGAATACAGTTTGAAAGGGGAGAGATTCCAGTTCTGTTTCATATGGATGTTGAGAGATGTATCCATAGATCTCCTAATGTTGCTCTCGAAGTGCACCAGATTGATGCTTTTAACTTCAACATTTAAAAAAAAATCTTCCTGGGGAGGTGAGGACCCCCCTAGAGGAGATTAGGTCACCCCCCCACTATTAAATCACGTCAACATGGATAGGAAACGAAATACATTTGCACATATCTTGTGTCCAATATACTTTCTGTTTTGGTGGTCATGCCACAACCGTGCACGTGAATACATGCACGAGTCATGGTAAAATATCTGGATTAAGAGTTTGCTTTTTCTTTGCACGGCATGAAAGAAAGGCGAAATTAATGGGCTGTGGTTTTAGTTTTTTTAAGCAGAGGTCAATCATTTGTACGGCCCTCGGAGGATGTTTAAAAAAT